ATCCAACTACGGTTAATGTCAGAAGATTTTATGGTTGAAAATTTGTTTTGACTGTTGGTTGACGTTATGATGTCTAACTGTGTCAGATTTTCCGTGCCCCACTAACCCAACTTTTTGGGGAAAATTTACGTCAAAGAAGACTTAATTTTGGGGGAAGGATACCCGGTGCCTCCGGTGCCCCTATAGGAGTGGGCCTCCAGCAAAACGTCCGCGTGAGAGGCTACGGTTGAGTACGCCACCAGTACTGATAGCATTCGTGGCCTCTCACTTTCAAACGTGTTCCAACGGGCCTGGCATGAATGGAAAATGGTCATTGTATTCTTGGTTCGCAACCATGTATCATGGCTTTCATGTTGGTTAACAGAAGAATAGTACTTTTTTTTTCTTTGAATAAAGGTTTGAGTTTCTAGTAGAGGGAATAACTTGTATTCTTGACAACCAACATGGCCACCTTGAAGTCAGCTGTAAAACAGCAATAGAGCCCTTTATCTCTATTTTAATGGACCATTATCTGGTTCTGTTGGTAATTGTAGTTTTATTCTGTTCTCTTTTCAGTTTGTATAAAAAGGCTGCTCTAAAGGGCAAACCCAAAGAAGTGAAGTACGTTGTCGCCAAGAAAAGCCAGGGTAAGAAGTTTTTTCTCTGTCCTAAGTATGAACGGCATTATTTTGTTGGCAAACTTTGGCTGATAGTATTTAATTGAAACTTTTGTTTGGTTTGTTAGACTTAACTTATGTGTAGCACAAAAAATTTAGCAGTATTGTGGTCGAACTCCTTCGTTAAATCTGTCCTTCAAAGCACTGGGCTTGAACTTCTCTACCCGCGCTACGCTCCTTTTATATTTGTATTTTATTTTATGAGGGAAGGGGAGGGAAAGAGATATAGGAAGAGGGCGTGAGCGGCTAACTGTGGATCGTAACACGATCTAAGTATTTGCATGCCTTCGGTAAACACAGGACAGTGTACTCCTGGTTGGAAAGATAAAACAAAACTTCCTTGGTTTTTTTAGTGCACTTTACGCGTGTCTTACTGCGTTCAACAATCAGCAGCAACATGTACTAAAATACACAAGAACACTGATCTTTTCGAAGTGGGACTCAGGGTAACTGAAACAAGGGCAGCGTCTTTGTTGCGCCGAACTAGATGTAGACAACTTTTGACTCCACATTAACTTGAAAATTTTGACACCGACTTAACGCGAAAAGAAAGAATTTTTAGCGCACCAACTTGTGTGACACTGCTGGCCACACTTCCACGTGGCAAATTCAGAATACAGAACAGCAATGTTACCTGTAAAAACTTTACTAAGCTTTCTGTTTCTTTTTTCAGCTGCAAAACGAATGAAGAGACCCGCGGGAGTGAAAGGCCCTTATAAGATTGTTGACCAACGGATGAAGAAAGATTTAAGAAGCCAAAGGGCGAAAGATAAAAGAAACAAACGGAGTGGAAAGAAAAGCAGATGATACATAATCATAACACAATTCTAGTTATTTATTTCCTCATTTATATGTTGCAAGTATGTGTATAATGATACAATTCGATGACCAAAGTAATTCTTCATTCGGCAAAAAGGTCAAGAAACACTGGCAATTCATCGTATGATTAAGGAGACTGATGTATTTTTTCTAATGATGAATACAATGTAAAATATCAAAACATCTACGCGCAGCCGGAGCATGCGCAGCTACAAGGTGGTCGAAGTTTGAAAGTTTTACGCTAAAGCTTAAAAGTTATAACCTTTGCTATATTTTGAAAAGAAATACGGTGATACATACCTTGAAATAGTCTATGTCAAGATTGACCAAAGGTTAT